AGCCTGGCCAATGTGGCGAAACCCCATCTCTATGAAAAAAATACAAAAACTAGCTGGGCATGGTGGCATGTACCTGTAGTCCCAGCTACTTGAGAGGTTGAGGCAGGAGAATTGCTTGTACCCGGGAGGCGGAGGTTGTAGTGAGCCAAGATGGTGCCACTGCAATCCAGTCTGGGCCATGGAGCAACGCTCCGTATTAAAAAAAAGAAAAAGAACTCAGCCAGGCACAGCAGCTCACACCTATAATCCCAGCACTTTGGAAAGCCGAGGCAGGCACATCATGAGGTCAGGAGATCAAAACCATCGTGGTCAATGTGGTGAAACCCCGTCTTTACTGAAAATGCAAAAATTAGCTGGGCATGGTGGCGCATGCCTGTAGTACCAGCTACTCAGGAGGCTGAGGCTGAAGAATTTCATCGAGTTGAGATTGTACCACTGCACTCCAGCCTGGTGATAGAGCAAGACTCTGTCTAATAAAAAAATACTCAAAATTTTTGCTGAATGAAACTCTTCTCTACCAGAAGGTAAATAGTACATTAGGGCATGGAATAGAATAAACTTGTGTTCATATAGAAATAGTTTTTTTCTATACTTCTGTAATCCTTGAGACAAAAAAAGGACAGTGAACAAAAACAGAGCTTTTAGTGTAAAAATAATTTTTTTCAAGTTCAAAGACTTTTTGAAAAAGCAGAGTCTGATTATGATAGTTGTGAATTTAGCATGGGATATTGGACCAGAGTCTCCACCCATACCAGTAGAACTGATACCGATGAAGACTGGCTGGAAAAGATATTTGGGAAATAAAAGCTACAGCTCTTTTTCAGTGAAAAAACTTGACACAGTTCAAAAATAGCTTCCTAGCATTATCTAACCAGAGATGGGTTTGTTTGAAGTTAGAGTCTGAAGAAAGTGTTTGAATTTAGTTTGTAATTATCCCATTACCATTCCCTCAACTCAGAAATATACTTCATCTGCAGCTGGGAAAAGTTACAAAAAAATGTAGTCAGGTTTTGATGATGACACACAAAATGTTTAAATCATCATTAATTTTACAGTTTTTATTATTAATAAAGTAACCTTATTTTTAGTCTTTAGTTTTAGTTTATGTAGGATTTTTTAAATAACACAATTTTATCTGCCAGTAATACTAAAATGATTAAGTTTAATATTTTTAGTTTATAAATTTATATTTTTTTACATTTTTTATGTTTCTGTTTTTTGTTCATGAGATATATTAAATATTTGGTTTTAAAGTTTGTGTTTTATGAATTCATAACATTTTAAAATAAAGTTATTAGTATCAATATCTAAAGTAAACACTTTAATTTTCTTCCATTATTGAGTCTCTCTTACCAAAGATGTCTATGTCATACTTAGGATAAGCCCCCAAAATTAGAGGACTTAGCCAAATACAGAGGGATTATGGAAAGAATATTCTAGGCAGAGTTTTTCAGATAATAAAAGACAGTGAGTTTGAACACCTGAAAGAGAAGTTTGGTATCATTGGTTCTCCAGATTTAAGAGGGTGAAAAGTTTGAGCTGAGGCTGGAGTGATTGATGGTGACAGGTTATGAGGATCTTTGGGAAACCATGAAATTCAGGGTATAAGAACCTAAGTGTTTTAAGTTTCGTAGTAGTTGGTCAGATTTGCATTTTAGAAGGATCATCTGGCAGTGTGAATGAGTTGGATAAAAGCAAACCAGTTAGAAGACTACTGCAAACACTCAGGCAAGTGATGATAGGACAAATCAGTGGCAGTGGGATTGGGAAAAGATAGGTTTGAGAGGTGTCCAGAAACTGGAATTCACAGAGCATGATGATAGGTCTGGCATAAACAATTGGGTGAATGTGGTAGCAGTTGCTGAAATAGGGACTGGAGGCAGAGCTATAAAGGTTTCTGTGGGAAGGTGCCAGCTTCACTTTTGCAGATGTTTATGAGACAAACAGTTCTAGTAGGTAAATGTAAAGATCTCAGGCTTTGGCCGGGCACGGTGGCTGAAGTCTGTAATTCCAGCACTTTGGGAGACGAAGGCGGGCAGATCACTTGAGGTCAGGAGTTCGAGACTAGCCTGACCAACATGGTGAAACTCCATCTCTACAAAGAATATAAAAAATTAGCTAGGCGTGGTGGCACATGCCTCTAATCTCAGCTACCCCGGAGGCTGAGTCAGGAGAATTGCTTGAACCCAGGAGGTGGAGGTTGCAGTGAGCCGAGATTGCGCCACTGCACTCCAGCCTGGGCAACAGAGCAAGACTGTGTCTCAAAACAGACACACAACAACAACAAAAGACAAACAAACAAAGATCTCACACTTAGAGAAGTCTAGAGTGGACTTGTAGACTTCTGAGAGTTATCAACATTGAGGTGGCAGTTGAACTTCTGAAAGTGGGTGGAATATTCAGATACGAAGAGGGAGGGAAACTGAGCTAGAACAGCCAGAATGGTAGAAGGAAAATCAGAAGAAGGTGATGTCATAGGAACCAGGAAGTAAGAGTGTTTCTAGAAACATGAAGTGATCATCTATGCTAGACGTTATGGAGAGTTTGAGCCAGATAAGGACCAACAGTACCATTTGTTTTAACTTTGAGAAATTCATTGGTGACCCATGCAGTGGAATTCACATGATAATTCTGACATGAGGAATTGAACAGCTATTTCAAGAAGTTTCCAGTGGAAGAAAGGACAGAACAGACAACTCTTTAGTTCTGACAGGTGATAAGGAGTTGAGAATCAATGTGAGTTTAAAGGTAATTAAATGATGATGGGAATTACCAAGTTTAGAAAGAAAAGTTGAAGATAAAAAGAGAGTCATTAAGGAATCTGAGTCCCTAGGAAGGAGGAATGGGCAAATGAGGGTCAGGGTGGGGCTTTGGATCATACAGAAAAGGAAGCAGGAGGCTGGATGCTGGTTAATTTGTGTGGATGGTGAGTAAGTTTGCATCTGAAATGGCTTCTTTATTTTCTTTGCGATGCAGACACATTGTCACTTGCTAAGATTAAGGAGAAGGTAGGTGAGGGATGGTTACAGGAGAATAGAGCATGTTTGCAACATCTGCCCTGGAGAAACGGAGAGAGAGTTGACCAGGGAAAGCTTGAGGATGAGGATGAGTTGAGATTATTGATGATGAATTTATGGTGGCCCTATATCTGGGTATTTCTCCAGCCACAGAGAACTGCCATGCCACCTGTCCATTCTCAGGTATGTGGGTGTATTTGAGGAGTTCCTAGAAGTTGGTTATTAGAGTCCTTGAAATACAAGGACCAGGTAATGAATACGACTCACACTCATCTTCGATGCATCCACTGTTGTTCTGTGCTGCAGCGATACAACAATATCCTCTGAGGTTATCAAAGTGTGTTAAGCTCTGTTCCTTCAGTAAATGGCCCCAGACTGATGTCTTGTTTCTCTTTAAGTTCTTGTCCGCTTTTTTATACTATTTCCGTCTCCTCCCTTTCTGTTTTCTTCCTTGTTGTCAGTTGTCCTATCACATTGCTGTCTGCATGCAAGTCTGTATCAGCCCTACACCCTGGACTTTGTCAACATCTGGAATTATCACACCTTTGAAATAAAGCTGTGAGCTTGAAGACCAGACAACCAAGCTTATTAGAATTATGTGCAAAGTAAGAGTAAATAATCTGAGTGTGGTTCTCATGTTCTGTGCTTTGAGGATATACATAAGTGTTTGTACATGAATTTTGTGACATTTATTGGGTTATTTCTCATATATGACATATTTATTGCTTATATTCCCATTGTGTTTTTCTTCTTTTGAATTCCCATGGCTTATGATAATATTCTTAGAGAACCCTCAACATTTATGACTGTAGCTTTTGTAATTGTGCTTTAGTACCTGCAGAGTATTTTCATATGCATTACTTAAACTTTAAACTACATGATTAGACATTTATACTGTTTTTTCTTATTATTCTCATGGATTTTCAAATACTTATATTTTGTATGGAAATAGCGTGTATTTTCAAATATGTGTGCATTTTGTGTGATGACATACTATGTCACAATTCAGTCATTTAGCCATGTCGGATATAAATGAAACAATAATGTAAAAAGTAAGCATTTGGAGGTTTGAAAAATAAATTATCTATTCTAGTTTTTCATATATTTTCATGTTTTGTGGACTTTTTCATCTGTGAACATCTTATGTATGTATCAACAGTTCAAATTTTTAAAAGATGTATATGCACGGTAAATACCACTTCAACATTTTCTATAAATTAACTTAATTTTGATCCCTGCCTTTCTTTTTGTCAAGAAGGTAAATTCAGCACCAGTCCTTTGGAGGCTTGTGCTAAGGTTTGGGGCCTTGGGCAAAAGGCCACAACATTGAAGAGAGGGCCTGGGCTTGTGAGTCACCTGGCGGCATACCTTACGTTAGCCCTGCACTGTGGGATACTGTGCTGTGGCCCAGAGCCCTGGGTCCTGCCTCCCTGGGGCACCGTGAAGCTCTTTCCTCTGAGCGCCTGCTCCACCAAACATAGGCTGCCTGGGGGCAGAGTGCCGCCCAGTGACTCGCAGCCACACACCTCTCTCTCCAATCCAGGGAAATCTTTTTTAATCTGGCGGAATCCCTTTCTTCAAAGTCTGTTCTTAATATGTTTAGAATTTAAAAAAAAAAAAAAACGGAAGCTAAAAAGTCCTAGCACAAACCTTCTATTAGGCGAGGAAGGGTGCACAAATGTAACCTATTTAAATAGAGGGATATTGGGAGAAAATACAAATTTATTTTGAGAAATAGTAGAATAGTAGTCTGTAGAGTAGTAAAAAACTCAACAGGCCACCTGTGTTCAATGTTATCTTCTCTGAAACTAAACCTATGTAGCCAAGTTTTTGTTTTTATAACTAATTGAACAATATTAATATTTGTTAAATGTTTACATTTTATTGTTATGATTTCTGAGTGGTGACGTTAAATACTGAGCAGAATGTAACATTTTCAAAGTATTAGATAGATTTTCTAACTTCGTTTTGTCTTATTTTAAGAACATTGGAACTATTTTGGAGCTGATGAGAATCTTGGTCCAGTGGCTGTGAGCATTCGAAGGGAAAAACCAGAAGAAATGAAAGAAAATGGATCTCCATACAACTACCGAATAATTTTTAGAACTAGTGAGGTAAGTCACAAATGAGAGAGGTTTGAGGTTTAACTGAAATGGGGGGAAAAAGGCAAATAGTAGCAGTAGCAAAGCAATTAAATTTAATAGCACATGGTTACAGATGTATTTGGAATAAGTGAAGGTCCCTTTCATTTATTCTGGTGGAGATGGAGGTGGACAAGATGGTTAGATCTGGATCCCTTCTTTTCATGGGCCTCTGAATAGATGCAATATGCGTGTGAGGAGTTTTGATTCAGAGAAAGATATGCTGTTTCAGTGTGGCCTAAGGAAATTGGAGTCCTCAGAATCTCCAATGGGATATTGTGTATTCTGCTTAGGGCTGCTGGAAAGCACCAAGGCAGCTCGAGGGCCGGAGTATTAGGGATAAGAGAAGGCCACGAAAGACTTAATTCACTGTTCCTAGCTCTTGCTGAGCGCATGTTTTCGCCCAAGAAAAAGGAGAGAAAGAGACGCTTCTTCCACTTTCACTTTACTATCTTTGGGACCCATTGCCAGAGACCTAGAAGGTATACTCTTTGAACCAGGAGCTAATTGTAAGTGAAACAGGCTTTTAGAGCTCTTTAGGAATCCAAATACACACAATCTATGAGTTTTTATTTTAAAACGATGTTTGGGCTAAAAAAACACATGGAAAAATAAAAAGAACCCATGCATAATTTTTTTAGAAAACCTATGAACAAGTCTGGGACTATGAGGTTCTTCTTTTTCTTTGTAAACTTATATAATTGGACCAGTTACCAATTTATTGCCTCTCAGCCACTATTTCACTTTAGGATTTTTGCTGTGCATTAATACTTAATACCCTTGAGTCATCCAGAAAATAATGGTTTTGAAACTATTTTAAATAGGGCATTTGGCTTCATTTCCCCCATTGAATGCAAAGCAAGTTTCAGGGGTTGGCATCACTTAGTAATTGTTCCTAAGCCTGAACTCCAGGGAAATTAAATATAGGACTTTTTAAAGACAAGACTTAAATATCTAATGTGTTGTTTATACTGGCCAGAGAGAAGTGAACTAACATACTCTCATGTGCTTTTTCTCCATGACAAAGCTAATCATTACATGGTGTAAATTCTTTGCTGAGCACAGAGGCACAGAGAATATCACATTCTGTGTTTTGGGATTGTATGCAGGTAGTTGCTCCTTTCTAGCTTCCCAGATCCTACCAGTTTTTAAGTGAACCTCAGTTATCTTACTTCCAAGTATTTTTGTCTTTCCTATTCTCTTCTTCGCTTCCCAAGGCCACTCTGATTCAAACTCCCCATCAAATTCTTTCTTTTCTGTGTTGTTTCTTTATCCAGCTAAATTCATTTCCTTGCCGCTTGTTCATCCTGTCCCTCATGCCAGAGGTTAAAGGTTCCTACGATTCCTTTCTCAGTCAGATTCTGTCACTGGTTTGCGGGAGTTTCCCTTCTCAGTGTGTCTTGCAGGCTTTCCACAGCTGATCCCAGCCTCTGCGTCCTACCTTAATACCTGTCCTAAGTTCCACTCTGGTCTGTGAACCACACCGACTCTTACCTTTCCCACCTCTGTTCTCTCTGCTTTACTACCTTGACCCAAACTATTCTACTTGCTTTCTGTGATCATAAGATTCTTTCTCTCTCCAGCTAACCCATTTGAATGAGTTGTGTCTGTTGGGTCTGTTTTCTTAGCCTTTGACTAAAAGCTTCAAGTCAAGTGTTCAAAAAAACACCATTACCACTTATTTTTTACATTCAAACTAATGTTCACTTCGTGACAACTCTATTATTGCATTTTTCTCAGGCTGGAAACCATTAAAGTCACACTTTATTCCCCTCTTCTCCCTCCTGCCCCTGAGATCTGGTGTGTCAGCAGCACTTGCTCATTTTGTCTTCACAATATGCCCAGAACTCAACTACTTCTCCCACCCTCACTGCCCAGTCCTGGTCCTGGTCTTGCTCTGAGAGCTGGTCTCCCGCTTCTGTGCTGAAGCTCTGCATCCTTTTGACCCAGTGGGGTTCCTTTTGAAATGTCGTTGAGATCTTGTCATTCCTTAGTTCAGAATCCTTGAAAGCCTCCTCATCTCCCTCTGAGAAACAGCCACTGTCCTGCTAGCGTAGGAGACCACGCACATCTGGTTCCCAGTTATCTCTCTGCACCTCATCCCTTGTAACTCCCCTTGGCCTGGGCTTTTCCCCACCACACTGGCCTCCTTCCTCCCTGGGCCACTTCAGGACACCTCTGCCTTGGGGCTCAGATGCTTGTCATTCCTCCCTACTGCGGTGTTCTCTGTCATGCTGCCTCATTTCCATCTAGAATTTACTCAGAAACCACAGAGGCCCTCCTTGACCACTGAATCTAAAATTTCTACTACCTTCCCATTTCATCTCCATTTCAGTGCTTTATTTTTCACTAATACTTAACACTTTCTTCTCTGTTGTACTTAGTCATTTTGTTTGCTTTCAATCTCTTCCTCTAGAGTGCAGCCTCATGAGGGTGGGGCTTCTGTCTGAGTAGTTTAGCACAACTTGCCTGATGCCTCAGATAGTGCCTTGCCTCCCTGTTTCTCTGTTCCCTCCTTCCCTCTCACCTTTCATCCTTTCCTCCATGTCTCTCCTCCTTTTCCTCCATTCCTTTCTTCCTTCTTCCCTCTAATGTTTATGTAATTAATCGCCACGAGTTTTTATATAATGTTTTTCTTTCTAATAAAAAATAATCCCTAAATTTGGTTTAATGGTAATATTGTATAAGGCTTTTGATAGAAATGTTTCCAAATAGTGGTCCCTGTCTGTAGCTCCTGGACTTTGAGAGATAGTTACTTCACTCTTCACTGAAGCCCTTTCACTTATTACAAATGAAAGAAGATTTAATTTGTATCAGGGACTTCTCATGTTACTAATTTCTCATGCAGATGAATAAGGCAAGAAAAAAGAAAACATTACAGTGACACTCTAGTGCCAGTAACTGGCAGCAAGATAACAGAAATACAAACAAATCTCTTTCATTTTAGTAGAAATAAACAGTGTAAAACATAAAAGAAGACATACCTTTGTAGGCATGGCAGTTTGTTTATAAGCAAAATTTTATGGCGCACTAATGTTTTTAAGCATAGAAACACAGGACTCATGAGGACTCACTTCATTCTTGTTTCTGGAAATCATTAACAAAAATATTAGTAATACTACTGACTGGGATGTAAAAAAATGAGCCGTTCTTTTTCTCATCTGGTTTGGCTTTCCTGAAGTTAGCTACTTTCTGTGGCTCAGGATGCAGTGACTCGTGTTTTTGGTCTTGGCTTCTAAATTGAGAAGACTTCTAGCCTTTGTGGTTCCCTATTTCAAGCTATATATTATCTCATGAAGAAAAGAGTCAAATAACTGAGTTAGCTATTTTCCATGATTTAAAAATGACATAAAAACTATTTGTGTCAAATTATACATTAAGTAATAGAAAAATGATTTTTACTTTTTGTTTGAAAGAAATTGTTTATCATGAAAGCGAAAAGATACTCATCAAATGAATAGACTGCAAATATTTCTACTAACTTTTTCCTGTATTGAAAATAAGATGTTATTAAGTTTTGCTTTTTCTACTCCCATCTGTCTTGACCTCACCTGTGGGCAAATGTTACAGATCAAGCTCATCCGATCTGTGGCCCAGGACAGCTTTGAATGTGGGCCAACACAAATTCATAAACTTTCTTAAAACATTATGAGATTTTTTTTTAAGCTCATCAACTATTAGTGTATTTTATATGTGGCCCAAGACAATTCTTCTTTTTCCATTGTGGTATAGGGAAGTCAAAATATTGGACACCCCTGTTCTAGATTCTAGATTTTACTTCCCTGGTGATTCTTCCTTTGGTTCCCGTTTCCCTGCTACTCCTAAATCATGCCTGATTTGCCTGTTACCTGAAGACTGTTTAGGTCCTCCATTCTAATTATATTCTCTGCCTCCAATTACTTCCTCTTGCAGTTTGTCTTATTTGCACTTAATTTCTGAGTATACATCGTCCCTTTATGAGCACGTCCTGAGCTGACTGGTAGGAGCCCAGTGAGGCATGTATCACTTAGTCAGCTTCAGGGTCTTCTGTGCGCCCCCAGCTCGCAGCTGCATGATCCGTTCCTCCCTGCACTCTTGTGTCCATCTACAATAATCACTCCTTCCCACTTACCTCCTTTTTTTCGCAGTCTCTATACATTTGCTCATGTTCTCTCTTGACATTTTCTTTTTGTAGAAATTGTTCTTCTATTTCGTGGCCATTTCCTAAAATCATTCTTTTCGACGGGGCCTTTCTTTATGCCCTGAGCCATGTGATCCATTCTTTGCCTTTGGACTCTCCGAGGACCTGACCTTGTTATGCTTTGTTGAGTATACTTGTCCTTTTGAGATTGCATTTGTGTCTTTCTGACCTCACACCTTTATATTTGCCACTCAACATGCACTCCACTAGCTTTTGTAGCTCCTGTTGCTAAATGGAAATATATTCAATTTGATGGGTTTTCTCTTCTTTCCTCATATAGTATTTAAATTATGTTAACAACTTTGCCATGTAGACATTTTTGGAAATTAAGTCTACTTTAGGCTTCATATCTGGTTAACTTTTCTCTGACAGATCATCATTACATAGGAAAATGTCTTTGCTTAAGGTATTAATGGAGGGTTTTTTTTTT